TCTCTGCATCCACTATTGCTAGATATCAATCAAATACAAGATTTCGTTTAAAAATGGTATCTTCTAAAGATGCTAATAAATACTGGTATTCGACTTGGTGCGAACACGGAATACTATAAGAAGCATGTGTTTAATGTACATGTGTGTACGAAGTGTCTTTCTTTACATAATACAGCTTATACTTTTTAGTCTTGAAATGAGTCTTTATAAAACGATTATCCGACTACATTGACATAAAGGCTCAATGGAGATCGAAAGGTCTCGAAAGGACGGAGGAGAGGGCAACGGAATTAAAAAAATTGTGTTCTTGCGAAGTATCCGCAGTCTTTCAACAATAAGCTATTTTATACAAGTGAATGTGTCACTTGTAAAAGAACTGTTTAACAGCTGCTTTTTAATTAGATACCCCTGATGGTGTGTTAACGACGGTCAAATTTCCCTTATCACAAATATTCGATGACACACCCTCGCGCTAGAACGTTTCTTCTTTCTCCTCGTTTTCCTCTTTCTTTTTATAGTCAACAGTATTCATGTGGGCGTCGACACGCGCGCGTCCAGCGCTTCGTTTAGCAAAATATTGCGATCTACACCTCTGCGATTTCTTGGCACAATATCAAAAGAAAATTCGCAATCACGCATTGCGAAGTATCCACAGCCCTGAATAGAATGTACGCGCGTTCAACCTCTTCTCGTTTTACACTGATCCGTTCTTTTTTCCTTTCGTCACGTACAGTGTTCCAACAGATGGAATCAATGAAGGATTTCGCTTTAATTTTACCGAGACGATGAAACATAATCGAGTATGCTTGAAAATAAGCGAGGATCACATCGCCACGAACGATCACATAAGCGTAAACATTAGTTTTCTTTTTCTTACGAAACTCGAGCGCATTTTACGTGCGTTTGAACGTACGACACCTACTCATTCATAGTAGATTGTTGTCCTTCTTTAAGCATCTCAGGTACGTAAAGCGTGGACGAATTTTGTGCCCTGTTTTTGGTGACGTGATTTTCATACATTCACAGAGTATTTGTTCATTTTTTCCCCTTTCTCTCGACGCTCATCGGTTTGTTCCCAGAATGATACAGATTTCAATAACTGTTCTTCTCTTCGAAATGAGACCGGTTTCACCATTAAATCGGTGATCCTTGGAACGCAACGCTCGCTAAACACGAGATACTGCAGAACAACATTATCACGCCCAAGAATATGTAAGTGCTGGTGATCAGCCAGAAGGCGAACAAGTACAATGTTTTATTGCAATATTTGCCAAGAGCTGGGTCGTAATTCGGTTCGTATTCTTTGTACACCCACATCGAGCCTGTGGGCAGACATAAAACATGTAACTAGGCAAAAATTAGAGACGTGTGAGAACCCGGAAGTATCGGACTCGGAACGATTTCTCGACATTTTCGGTTTCTCCTGTAATTCTAGTAAAAATATTCGATTAGGGCGTTGATAATAGTACCGACCTATTATGAACCAACCAATGATAAAGCAATTGATTAACGTTTGGGTAGGAGATTGCCGTATTCTCTCTTCGTCTCGTTCAACCTGGCCTTGGCGCACTCTCGCAGACAAATGTAACAATTGTTTGAAAACGCCAAAACCGCCGCCTACTAATAAATAGACGGGAATGTATTCTCCTTGAGGGCAATCGTACAGATAAAGTCCACCGATGACTACCATGCATATAGGAATCACTATCGTTATTCCTAACATAATAGTACATCCAACTGGAATCGAAAGCATAAAATTAGCAGCTCTATATTAAA